GGGGGGGGGGGGGGGGGGGGGGGGGGGGGGGGGGGTATCGGGTGGTCCCCGGGGGTCGGTTTTCGCACTTTGGGGGTTTGCCGAACTCGGACCACCACCCCATAGCCCTAGTCGCGCGCACACGCCCCGCGGGACTGGGTTCATTTTTTTCACGCGCGCGCGCACGTAGCGCGTTTAAACGCGATTGAACGCGGGGCTGCGGGGTTTGAACACGCAAGTTTGAACATGAACGCGCATTCACGGCGTTCAACCGGTTACACAGGATGTGAAGGTGTTTGTCTATGGTGTGTGGGTTATACGGATGCGGAGGTGGCAAAAGGTGTGACAATGTCTGGCTAGGGTGGATGGGTGAAGAAGGTGAAGGTGGAAAGAAGTGTGAAGGTGCTTTGCTGTGGTGGACGGGTGGAGGTGGAGGTGGAGGATGTTGTAGAGGTGCTTGGCTATGGGGGATGGGTGAAGGAGGTGGAGGTGCAAGAAGGTCTGAAGTTGTTTGGCTATCGTGGATGGGTGAAGGAGGTGGAAGAGGAAGAAGGTGTGAACGTGCCAGGGTAGGGTGAATGGGTGAAGGAGGTGGATGTGGAAGAAGGGATGAAGGTGTTTTACTAACAAGGTGGCGGTGCAAAAAGGTGTAAAGGTGCTTGGCTGTGCTGGATGGGTGAAGGAGGTGGAGGTGGAAGAAGGTGTGAAGGTGTTTGGGTATGGTGGATGGGTGAAGGAGGAAGAGGATGAAGAAGGCGTGTAGGTGTCTGGGTAGGGGGAATGGGTGAAGGAGTTGGAGGTGGAAGGTGTGAAGGTGCTTGGCTATCGAGGATGGATGAAGGTGGTGCACGTGGAAGAAGGTATGAAGGTGCTTGTCTATGGCTGATCGGTGGAGGTGGAGGTGGAAGAAGGTGTGAAGATGCTTGGCTATGGTGTGTGGGTTATCAGGATGTGGAGATGGAAAAAATGAGTGAAAGAGTCCAGCTAGGGTGGATGGGTGAAGTAGGTGAACGTGGAAAGAGGTGTGAAGGTGCTTGGCACTGGTGGACGGGTGGAGGTGCAGGTAGAAGAAGGTGTGGGATTTTTGGCTATGGGGGATGTGTGAAGGAGGTGAAGGTGGAAGAAGGTGTGAAGATGTTTGGCTATTGTGGATGGGTGAAGGAGGTGGACGAGGAAGAAGGTATGAAGGTGTCTAGCTAGGGTGAGTGGGTGAAGGAGGTGGAGGTGGAAGAAGGGGTGAAGGTGTTTTGCTAACGAGGTGGAGGTGGAAGAAGGTGTAAAGGTGTTTGGCTATGTTGGATGGGTGAAGGAGGTGGAGGTGGAAGAAGGTGTGAAGGTGTTTGGCTATGGTGGATGGGTGGAGGAGGTAGAGGAGGAAGAAGGTGTGCAGGTGTCTGGCTAGGGTGAATGGGTGGAGGAGGTGGAGGTGCAAGAAGGTGTGAAGGTGTTTGGCTATAGAGGATGGGTGAAGAGATGCACGTGGAAGAAGGTATGAAGGTGCTTTTCTATGGCTCATGGGTGAAGGAGGTGGAGTTGGAAGAAGGTGTGAAGATGCTTGGCTGTGGTGTCTGGGTTATAAGTGGGTGGAGATGGAAGAAATGTGCGAAAGAGTCTGGCTAGGGTAGATGGGTGAAGAACGTGAACGTGGAAAGAGGTGTGAAGGTGCTTGGAAGTGGTGGACGGGTGGAGGTGCAGGTAGAAGAAGGTGTGGAGGTACTTGGGTATGGGGGATGGGTGGAGGAGGTGGAGGTGGAATAAGGTGTGAACGTGTTTCACTATGGTGGATGGGTGAAGGAGGTGGACGAGGGAGAAGGTCTGAAGGTGCCTGGCTAGGGTGAGTGGGTGAAGTAGGTGGAGGTGGAAGAATGGGTGAAGGTGTTTGGCTAATGCGGTTGAGGTGGAAGAAGGTGTGAAGGTGTTTGGCTATGCTGGATGGATGAGAGAGAGAGAGAGAGAGAGAGAGAGAGAGAGAGAGAGAGAGAGAGAGAGAGAGAGA